TTTCAATATAGTAGTTTTACATATAAAATCGAAATTTTTTCCTACATTTTAACCACATATTTTCCAAAAAATATCTATTATAAAAACCCTTCCTATAAAAAAAATGGGACTAATATCCTTTGAGTTACTAATCTATCCTGTGTTTCACTACAAGGTGCATCTATTTAAAACTCAAATTTTAAATAAGTCCTTGTTTGAGCCCTATTTTTTTGGTCAAAATACATTTTGAAATAGTATTTTATCGAAAAATGCGTTGTTAAAAAATATAAAAAAGTTTTGGGTTTAAGTATAAAATTATTTTATGGAAAAATATGTAGTTGAAAATGAGTTTTGAAAAAAAATAAGTTTTTTGAAAAAATGGGGGCCAACATAGGCTAACTATTTTAATTATCAATTAAGCCCCTCTTTGATTGATGTCCATTATTTCATCAAAATGAGTTATGAAATAGTGAATTTTTGGAAATGTATAATTATAAAGTAGAAAAAAAGTTTATGTACAAATTTTTTTTATTGTGAGAATGTGTGATTTAAAATAAGTTTAAGGAAAAAATGAGTTTTGAAATAATGAGAATCAAATAGATGCTAAATAAAACTTGGGAAAAATAATAAATACAGTACTATAAAAATACAAATTCAAATTTAACAAACTTATAAAAAAGTTTCATAAATTAAGTATCAAATTATAATAACAATAGTAATATATTATATGTATTATTGAAATGGAACCTTCGGACTGCTGACTCCCACCACTGCATCTCCATCTCGTTGACAGTCATGCCGACTCGTCGGCGACACTTAAATGGCGTGACAATAGTATTCGTCAATGAGATAACAGTATAACAACTCAAGTTAGGCATCTATTTTTAATTACATAAATATTTAAAAAGTAATACAATGATAGAAGTAATAATGCAAATTAAGAGTTTGAATTAAAAAGTGATGTTAATGGTAATTTTCTATTTGATAAATTGGGTTGAAGTTATAACCAGATGTAATATTTCCAATTTTTTGCTTTTATAATGACCCATCCTTTCAAAATGCCAATATTTATCATTAAGATTTGTGTCTGGGAGCGATTGTGTTGTAGAAAATCAATTTTCCTTTCAAATCAAACTTGGCCCCACCACTAGTTGAGTCAATCTTGGTATTTGAAATGGACCATTTACTCCTCTGTGAATTTTGTAAGGTTTGTTTGAGAAATTAAAATGGAGGGCAAACTGGGAAGCTTTGCTTTAATGCCGCCTGTGTGTCCTGCAGCTTTGTCAGCCTTGTCAGCCTTTTGCAATAAACAATTAGGCAACGGTTCTTCTTTCAATTACGCAACGGTCGGAATTATACTAGGAAGTTTTACCAGACACGC